TGCCAATTTTCTGGAGCCGCAAATGAAGAGTAAGTTTTTGACGAAAGTCCTTTACTCGCTAAAGTACCAGGTGCTTTGGTTTCTTCAAGGAAACGCCAGTTATCCTGGGAAGGGCTTTGGGCAGAAATTACCGAAGAACATGAATGCAGGGATGGAGAAGAGTATCCTCGCATTACAAACTGTAGTCTCTTCACTGGTACAGCCTACACTTCAACGGAACCAGTTAGAGCACGCATTTGCGATCATTAATACATTTGGCATAAATTTTTTTCAATGGTTACAAGAATCGTTGCCGACTGACTGCAAAAATCTTGAAACTTATGCACCGAGTGTGTTTGGACTTGCGGTAACGCTATTGGTGGCCGACTCCCCGTTACGGGATTCTGTGTTTTGCCTACTTTGCAAACTTCCTTTAGGCAGCCCTGTACATCGTAATTTTTTTTCTGTGATTGTAACGGCGTGCTCTTCGATGTGGGATGGACGAAAAGGACCTCTTTTGTCTCAGAAATATTGCGGTAAGGCAACCTCATCTTTTGCACGATCCTTTGCAAGTTATGATGCTCCTCTCAGTTCTTTGAGCAATACATGGAGGAACGATTGTGCTACCTTGGAGCTGAAGAATATGGGGAGCGTCATTTATTATGCCCTGGCCTATCTTTACAGGGATGGAACATTTGGTTATTTCTTTGATTCCACGGTGCGGTCAAAGGCATATGATTTGCTTGTGTTGCTTTGCGGGGAAGCCCCTGCTGAACCCATGGCAGATCCGCTAGATGATTGGCTGTGCTTGCTTTTGAAGGCATGTCGACAAGGTGGTGGAGAAGTGGAGTCAGACAATAGACTTGTACAGAGTCTTTTTGTCATGGCGAGTGAAGATATTTTATCAGTGGGACGCAAGTCATCTAGTGCAATTGAAAGGCAGCGCATAGCCTTGAGTCTGCTCTCGTTCTTCTTGCGTCGAGTGAGACCAACAGAGTCCAATCTGCGCACTGTGCTCCGGGTTACACAAGCATGCCGAAATACGAGCTCGGAGCTTGCTCTCGCTACCCTATGGGGTGGATGGATTGCGTACGAGGGACGAGAAAGGGAACGTTTTACTTCACTCCTGGTGCTATCCTCCATGGACTTAGCAGACAAGCGTGTGGTAACGCAATACATTGACATTTACATCAATCATGAAATGGCAA